TGGCTATTTTGAGTGCCTGCGAAAGCAATTAATGGAACATAGTATTAAGCCTGTCATGATTTTACAAAAAACAAGTAAATTATAATTTTTGGCCCCAGTACTCCATTAAAGTAAGAATTAGCAAACTTATGACTCAAAACATACACAACCAACTTCTGCTAAATCAAAAATCTGAAATACTTCTGCTTCAGTCAGCATGAACAAATCATTTCGTTGATCAAAGGATACATAAGTATCTTGGGACCACTTCTTCAAAGATGGAAATATGAAGTGATAACCCACGGGGCAGAATTCATGAGATTTTTCTAATCTCCGAGTGACAATGAGTTTAGTTGAGGTAACGAGATTTCTTTGTCATCCTAACATCAGCTCATCTCTTTCAGTTGTTGAACCTCTTGGCCATGATGATAGGAAATAGACATTTTAATTCGCTGCACCTTTCGATTGCAATTTGTTCGAGTTTTGTAAAGAAAATAAGTTGGAATTGCAAGTTTTGATCCTCTTCATCATCTTCAAGTATGACTTGTTTAATTTTAACACCAGGCAATTTTCAAATCTTGCAGTGCAAAAAATTTCGACAATAGCAGCGATGAAAGATATGTCTCAATTTAAGCAGATACTTAGTTAAAGTGGTAAGATTCTGCAGGCTTAAAGCATGCATGTGACCCTTACAAACATGCTCTAGTTCTTCCAGATAACAACTCCATCTATTTAAATTTGGAGTGACAATTGATGTTGTTCATCAGCTTCACAACCTTAAATTAAATAACACTTTCAATCCAAACCCTGGTACTTAGTTCCTCTAAATTTTTTATCACTCACCACTTGCAGCCACAGTCGGCATTTTATCTGCTCTGTGCACAAGGCCTGATCTTTCCCATACGAAATCAACGAAATTAAACCCATCTCCCAAAATGGGTTCTTGCTCGAATATCTTTCGTTTTGGATTGATTAAAGACTGAAAAAGTTGCTGTTCTTTAATGCAAATGTCGACGCTAGACTGGCGTACAAGTCGGCACGGAAAGTTGGGAAAAAGACCTGCCGTTTTTGAGTAACATCCATTTGCCTGAGTTTAAGTACTTGAGAATAGTTCGTTTTGTGTTTCTCTGGAGGCGAACAGGGAGTTTGGGGTTTATATAGAATTTTCATGAACAGTGGAACCATTAGCCCTAAGCATGATTACCGAAATTAAAGGAAGCGCTAAGGGGCTCTTGCAAGAGTATTGGAGATCGGACCCTGATGATGTTCAAATCCATTTTCCATATTGAGCTTCCTGCATAATGGCAGCAGAGGACAAGTGCAGGGGTTCAAAGTAAAGAGGGTCGGATTTTTCTCCTGTCTTGAATGGGTCCAGTTATGTAACCTGCATTTTTTTTTGCTTTGAGTGGGGAAATTGAAGATTCACAAGGATCTCACAGTCCATATAATCATTTCTTACAATCTGATCGCTTGCGCCGATATCTCAACAGCTGTTTAGATCATAAACACCTTCACGGCAATATCTACTCTCATTGCGAGGCTGAAGAAAACTTAAATAGTGACATTGTACCATTGAATTTTACAGCAGACTGTAATGTGAAGCTCAATTTGAGCTGATATTCTTGAGAGAATTTTTCTGTTTTTGAGCTTGACGATGGAATGGAAGGTTGAAACCAGGGAAAATCATCTGATCACCAAGAAAGAGAGGACTTGAATAGCACTCTACAATTTTTCCTGAGAACTTTTGACGCAGTGCATGAACAACATTTCTTTAGAGACCATTTGGATATTGCCCTCTCTTTTCCTAACTTGATGCTTCTTCTTTGGGCACAACTTTCTTACTTTCGCTATTTCAGCATACATATACTTCAAACCTGGAATTCTCAGATCCTGAGTCTCAGTTCTTTGAAATGCAATCCCATCAAAGTAGCCTGAATCATTTTCGGTTTTCTTACTCCAAAGCTGCCCTAAAACACTAACTGTTTTCTGATTGACCATACTGCAGGAAATCTCAAGCTAAACCTTATTGAACAATCCTCAACATAAGAATTATCTACAGATCTAGGTTTGTTTCAAGATTCGGCAGGCAATAGCAATAAGCTGATTATATTCACATCCCATGACCCTTTGATGACAAATGTTGATTTAGATCAGGGCTGGTAATCCGCGTTATAGTTATTTCAGGAAATTCTCCAGAATCTCAAGCCTTTGTCTGTCCACTGGCATTGAATTATGGTCATTCAGGGTGAAAAAACAAACTTCTAAACATGTTTCAAACTGACGTTTAACCCAGATTTGAATTTCCTCAACATTGCACCTCACTACACATGACCGACTCCACCATTAATTCAACATCACAAGTTCACTAATTTATCAACAATTTTCCAGGCCAACACACTAATTCTCATAAGGTACTTTACTATAACATGAATGATAAGCTAATATATATATACATAACCATATATACCCCCTGCTAAAGAACAAAGTTGTGACCAATCCAATATATCAACCCAACTACCACTTCCCATTACCAAAGTCGGACCCATTTTTAATCATTCTCCCTCCTTTACTCTTCCATTGGCCGAGCTCAAACAACATCCCATAATAAACTGCTCCCAAATCTACCACCCACATTTCATTTAAAATATAAAGCCATTTTATTTTATATATAATTATACCATGCCAAGGGATAAAACTTATTATTTTAGAGTCAAACAAAGGCATTTCCCTTACCATCTCACCAACAAAATTATTTCACAAAACCCATCATATATTTTTACCACCACACAGCACATGTAATCATCATATACATGCATGAAAATGAAGTATTAACCAAAATTAAAGAAAAAACCAAATGACTGCCGACACTACAACTGAAGAAAATCCATTTCACCCTCAACATTTGTTTCCCTATCAAGCAAAAGGATTCTACACATAAATCAATACAGTCAATACAAATTACCAACATATATAACACCCTTATTTGGCCGAAAATCAAGTCTTCATACACTCATTTGCATGTTAAATAATTATGTACAGAAATAGATAATATCCTCATAAACTCAATATCATCAAATAAGTCAACCAAGCACAATTCATAATCAACCCAATTTTTATGCAATACATTCCACTCACAATTTCGGTGCTCCACCCAAAAGCCCAGCACTTCCTCACGGATTTCCTCCTTCCTTTTCACCAAATCTTACAAAAATTTTCTTCACTCTTTCACTCTTCTTCTCGGCTGAAACCCGTTTCTCCTTCTCTTCTCCTTTTTCTTTTCTTCGTTTTTCCCCCCTCTTCTTCTCTCTTTCCACCACTTATTTGGGGAACACTGTTCATCAAAAATATCTGACAGTTTCACTTTAGTCCTCACTTGTTTTGGATATTCTTTACTCCCTCAAAATTTTCTAATTCTTGCACTTTACTCCCCAAAAAAAATCACAAAATAAAATTTAATAAAACAACTTATAAAATATGGTCTAGAGATTATGTGCCATGAAATTCAAAATGCAATACAATTAAGAACAACCATAAAGCCTTAAAAATCAAACAAAACCAACAAGAAGCATAATAACAAGAGTCCAAAAAAAAAAAAAAAAAAAAATCTAGGTTGGAGGAGAATTCCATCAGTATCTGCTGCATTGTTCAAATTCAATCAATACACATGCGAATGTGCAAGATATAAGAGCCAAACGATCTCCAGGTTCACCCTTCATTGTATACTTGCCAGCAGAGGCCAATTATAGAAAGTGTTTTACACTTCTGAAAGTTCAAATTGACCTAAACACCTTTCATCTTCTGATTTAATTCTGAAAAAAGAAAAAGAAATTTAAAACACAGAATCATTATCTGATATATGAGAGTTTGAGTAAGATTTATACAGCCTAGTTAACAAAAAAGCCTGTAATTGTGGCATGATAGATCCCTTCGAAAGTGTTAATGGTCACAATTCTCTGTTTTGAACTTGAAGACATGTTAGTTAGGGAAACCAGGGGTGGTATTATTTTATATCTTGTAGCTAAAACTGAGTGGTGTTGAGCTGTTCAAGTATACAGTAAAACCTATTTGGGTGTTACATGAACTGAACCACTAAAACCGACAAGAGAAAGAGTAAGAAGAATCTAATATAGAATCACATTACCTGGTTAACAGTCATGAGTTTGTTTCAGGTTTGCTTGTCAGTTTTCAATATCATTTTGCTGGGTGACAGTTTGCTCATCACGTAGCGGTAATACTTTGGGAACTGATCAGATTTCCAGCACACGATCTCAATCGGTGGCTCTAGAGTGAACTCTACTCCTTCATTTTTCATGCTTATTTTTCGTGCCTGCAAAACCAATTAATGGAAAATGAAAGACGAAAAATGACATTAAGCTTTTCAAGGTTTCACAGAAAATATGAATTAGCTAAGAAGGAAAAAAAATAATTAATTTTCCGTCCAACTCCATTAGTGTAAATAAAAAGAGCAAATTCTTGACTTATGATGGTTAACAAAGTATAAACCAACTTCTATTGAGCTAAGAAGACTCAAAAAAGTACCTTGGCTTCCGCGTGCACAAATTTATTTTGTTGATTTAAGGAAAATGCTGTATTCATCTTGGGACAACTTTCAACTATCAATGAATCCAAAGATGGAAATATGAAGTGATATCCGACGGGGCAGAAGTTAGCAAGATTTGGTAAATTTCTTTGTCAAGTTGGGGTAGCTGGATTTCTTTGTCAGTCATGACATCAACTCTATCAGTATGTCCAAATACTTCTTCCAGTTGATTCGCCCATACGGTCATACCACACTTACCAATTTCAATTGTTGAAGACCTCTTGCCGTGGTGATAGGAAGGACACACTTTAATTTCTAGCACCTTTCGACATAAATTTCTAAGAGATTTGGAAAGACAGATTGGAGATGATCATCATCATCTTCAACCACTATTTGCTCCAAGTTTATACAGCCTTCAACTGACAGAGTTTCCAATTGCAACATATTTCGAGCAACAGTAGTTGAAAAGATATGTGTCAACCTATGACAGAAACAAATACTTAAAAGTGGTAAGATTTTGCAGGCTTAAAACATGCTTGGAACCGTTACATAAGCCTTCTAATTCTTTTAGACCGCGCAACTCCAAGTTTTTCAAACTTGGGAATGATAACTGATGTGATTGTCCATCAACTGCAACATCTCCTAGCTGAAATACCACTTTTACTCCGCAATTCCTAATACTCAAATCTTCCAAATTATTGAAGCCGTAACTGAACACAGAGGTTCCGCCACACAAGTTGTTGCAGTCTCCAATGCGTAAAACTCGTAACTTCTGGGAAAACAGATCACTACATCTTATCAAAATCTACTGGATGTTAACATTCACCCGTGGCTGTTTTCAGTTTTATTAATAAAAAATGTGTGTAATGAGATAATTAGATTTTAGTCGAATTACAGTTGATAACTTAAACCTTCAATTAGAGTTCTACGTAGGAGCTATATATTCCTAGTCATATTCACCAATTTACAATGGTCTATATACCAGAATGTGTCAAGTAAAACTAAACATATTAGAATACACTTATCATTAAGTAACCGAAATGTATTTGCCTTTAAATGATGCTTACAGTAAGAGATTTGTGTCTAATAAAAAATATTCGATGAATTAATATTTTAATTAATTTTACAAAGCAAACTTATATAATTAAACCTTCTGCAATTAAATCTATTTAGATTTTAGTCAAACTAAGGCATTTATGAGATAATACTACCATTTGGTTTGAAATTGAATATTTATTCTAGACTTTGTGCATATCTTTTTTTAAGTGAAAAAGTAATTAATCAATCTAATATTGGTAAGCACACAAGAGACATTTGCTTATTTATCATTCATTTGACTTATTTGACTATTTAAAGTCATTGTTCTTTGATCAATAATATATATATATATATATATATTAATGTTATATTATCTATTTTATGTTTTAAATTTATAATATCTCTTTAGAGAAAGGACTCCAACGCCAATGATTTATGAAATTGGTTTGTCCACTTTCAACCCAAAACTCCAATTAATTTAGACATATTTTTGTATAACAAATGCATTTTGAGAAATAACATTTATGATGTCCTATGACTAGATGCACATTTTTTTTTTCAATTAAAATTTTCTATTGTGACGTTTTGCTTAAAAAGGTCACTAATCGATAAGTGCTGTATCACTAAAAAATAAAAATAAATAAATACTAGCTAGATAAAGAAAAATTCCTAACTGCGCCCTTGATCCTAAGATAATTAGTTTCACAAATTTATCGAATTAAAATTACAAAATGAAAATCATGTTTCATTCTTTAATTCTTGATACCATGGTGACACTTGAAAATTCTAGGCCTACAGCTAAAGACATATTCTCAATATCAGATCTAAATTCAATTATTAGGCCATTAATTAAGATTATAGTGATACATACATATATATAAATTTATTCTCTAGTCAAGGCGTTATTTTTTATTATTATTATTATTATAATAATAATGCCAGTCACATGAAAGGCACAGAATTTGTTTTAGAAAAACTCCATCCATAAAAAACATTCATAACTTTTGAGTCGTCATGGAAGCAAAAAGAGCCAATTTTTAAAATCTATTTACTCATTGACAATTTATAAAATTTTCTTTTGATAAATAAAAATACTAGAAATTTTGAGTAAACTTCTTAGATTTTGAATAGTTAGTTAAATCAAAAGGTATTAGTGAATATTATTAACTAAATAATTTAATTAGATAAGATGAATCATTATCCATTTATGTCCCATTTCACGTCAAAATATGTTAACCTCTTTATCTTGATAAACAATAACTTGAGCTAATGTCTATTGAGTCAAGGATCTGAAGAAGTTTTAGTACCTTTTCATCAGCATGCACACATTCATCTCTGGTTAAGGAAAATATTGAAACTGTCGCACCACAATCTTCAACTACCAATTTTCGCAAAGATGGAAATATGAAGTGACATCCCCCAGGACAGAAGAAGTTAGTGAGGCTTGGTAATGCTTTGAGTGTCAAGTAGTTTAGTTGAGGCAGCACAATTTCTTCGTCATCCATGATGCCAGCTACATCTTTATGTCCAAATAATTCTTCTAATTGGAAGTTGTCTTCTACATATAATTCTTCCAGTTGTTGAAGACCTCGGGCCATGGTGGTTGGAAACAGACATTTTAATTTGCTACAACTTTCGACCACAACTTCTGAAAGATTCCGAAAGGTTTCAGGTTGGAGATTATTGTTCAAGAAGGCTTGATACTCTTCCTCCTCCACAACAATGATTTGCTCCAATTCAGCACAATTGCTGATATGTAGATATTTAAGTTGCATCATATTTCGAGCAAGAGTAGCAGAGAAGATATATCTAAGCCTACTGCATGAATCCACTTCTAGATTGGTAAGGTTTTGAAGGCTTGGAACATGCGTGAGACTGAGACCCATACATAAGCCTTCTAGCTTCTCTAAAAACTTCAATTTCAAATTCTTCAAACTTGGGAATGATAATTTGTGTTTTCGTCTCTCAGCAACAACACCTTCAAGCTGGAATACCACTGTTGGAACCCTCCTGCAATTGAGGGATTCACAGCAAAACAACACACACAAACAGCAACAATATGCACGTAACAGACAATAACAGACTGTATTAATGGATACTGAGTAAATATGAAACAAGACCAAAGGAAAATAACAGATAGTGCCCAGCAGTTCGAGGAGCTGGGGACCTCCCACACAATTCCTGAATATATTTCTTGTTTTCTACTCTCCACACTCTCTCTTTTATAAGCTAACTATTCACTTCTGTAATAGTATTGACAGCCACGTGTCGTTCCTCATAACAGCCTCAACAATCCTAACAACCCTTATTGCACACCTCACCACTTGTTAACAAACTCACACTCAACGTCCCATTATTTATATTCCTGCCCTTAGATTTATAGACCTTATGTATGGGAGGTCTAACAATACCCGCCCGTCGAAGTGCCACCTTGTCCTCAAGGTAAAATTGAGGAAATTGGCTGTTGATGACATCAAAGGGTTCCCATGTGGCATCGAAAGTAGGCAAACCGAGCCATCGAATTAGAACCTCTGTGGATCCATCCATAAGAGACCTCACATCCAGCACTTCAGCAGGTTGAACCTGCAGTTCCAGGTCATCGGTAAGACAGGTAGGCAGAGGCTGTACAGGAACTGAGCTATGCAGGTTGTGCTTCAACTAGGATACGTGAAAAACAAGGTGAATACAGGCTGCTGGGGGTAGTTCTAACTTGTATGCCACCTGACCGATTTTCTCCAAGACCCGGAAAGGTCCACAAAACGGAGGACTTAGTTTTTCATTCATTCGTGTGGCCAAAGATTTAAATTTGTAAGGCTATAGTCGAAGATACACATGATCTCCTGGAGAAAACTGCACATTCCTTCGACGACGGTCTGCTTGGGCTTTCATGTGAACTTGTACTACTTCCAGGTTGTGTTTGAGGTCTTGAAGGATGGCATTTCACTCACAGATCTAGTGGTTTACTTCATCAACCTGAGAAGGGTAGTCTGTGAACTTCAGGAGAATTGGGGGGTCACGACCGTACAAGGCCTTGAAGGGTGTCATCTTGGTGGATCGATGATATGTCGTGTTGTACCAAAATTCAACCCATGGCAGCCAATTCGGCCATTGACGGGGCTGTGAGCTACAAAAGCAGCGAAGGTATGCCTCCAAGCACCTGTTTACCACTTCAGATTGGCTATCCGTTTATGGGTGATACGCGGAACTAAACTTCAAAGCTGTCCCCGATACCCTGAAAATCTCTTACCAAAAATGACTCATGAAGAGTCTGTCTCTGTCGGCAATGATGGACTGAGCAAAACCGTGAAGCTTCACTATTTCTTTCATGAATATTAGGGCCACCTCTTTGGCGATATAAAGGTGTGACTAGAGGTGGAAAAAATGGGTCGGGTTAGGCAGGTCAACCCTAACCCGACCCGTAATGAAGAGGGTTCAGCCCAGCCCGCCATTGGTTGAGCCCAACCTGCCAGCAACCCCCGGGCGGGTCGGGTTGCAAAATGGCAACCCGCCGGCCCGCGGGTTGCTATTTTGTCCTCTCTGCAGGAGGACCGCAACCCGGTGGGTTGCAGGCGGGTTGGGTGTGCCAACCCGCCGGGTTGGCCAAAAAAAAAATAAAATAAAAAAATGCAAAATTTATTTAGTTTTTTAAATTACACTTTTACCCTTGAAATATAGCCATTTTATAGCCGTTGGAGGGGTCTTTTTCGTCATTTTCTTACCCCATTTTTTTCTATAAATTGGCCCTAAACTCTTATATTTTTCTCACAACTCAAATTCTCTCATTCTCTCATATTCTCTCAATTATTCATTTATTCTCTTAATCTTTTTGTTATCAATTTGCTCTTATTTTAATTTTTATTAGNTCTATCTAACCTTATAATTTTTTATAATAATGATCAGCAATTTCTAGTTAAAATATTTATGTATACATTAGACAATAATCAATCATAATTTAACAATATAATTATAGAGTACAAGTACTATAATCAATATAATAAGGATATATTAGTAATATAAGAATTTAAGAACTTTTATTTATATATTATTAATTTAAAAAAACAAACAAATTACATGTCTTAGGACTATTAAGTATTAGATGACTTTGAAAATAAAATACTGTTAGTTCTAGTGTTTGACTAGTTAGTTAAATCAAAAGGTATTATTGAATATTATTAACTAAATAGCCCTCTAAATAATTTAATTAGATGAGATGAATCAGTATCCATTTATGTCCCATTTCACGTCAAAATATGTCTATTGAGTCAAGGATCTGAAGTAGTTTTTGTACCTTTTCATCAGCATGCACACATTCATCTCTGGTTAAGTAAAAAAACAATTTTTTTATTTTTATTTTTTATATTTCATAATTGTTATAAAAAAATTGATCAAATTCTTGACTTATGATGGTTAACAATGTATAAACCAAATTCTATTGAGCTAAGAAGACTCAAAAAAGTACCTGTGATTCCGCGTGCACAAATTCTATTGAGCTAAGAAGACTCAAAAAATTTTCTATTGTGACGTTTTGCTCAAAAAGGTCACTAATCAATAAGTGTTGTATCACTAAAAAAAATACTAGCTAGATAAAGAAACATTCCTAACTACGCCCTTGATCCTAAGATAATTACTTTCACAAATTTATTGAATTAAAATTACAAAATGTAAAACAACTACAAAGGGATATAAAAAATCCAGTTTCTTTCTTTAATTCTTGATACCATGGTGACACTTGAAAATTCTAGGCCTTCAGCTAAAGAGATAGTCTCAATATCAGATCTAAATTCAATTTTTTGGCCATTAATTAAGATTATAGGGATACATATAAATATATAAAGTTATTCTCTAGTCAAGACGACGTTGTTTATTATTATTATTATTATTATTATTATTATTAAGCCAGTCACATGAAAGGCACAAAATTTGTTTAATGCCAGGCACAAAATTTATTTCAATTTTAAAAATTTTCATTTGATAAATAAAAATACTACAAATTTTGAGTAAACTCCTTAGATTTTGGCTAGTTAGTTAAATCAAAAGGTATTATTGAATATTATTAACTGTATAGCCCTCTAAATAATTTAATTAGATAAGATGAGTTATTATCCTTTTATGTCCCATTTCACATCACAATATTTTAACCTCTTTATCATGATAAACAATAACTTGAGCTAATGTCTATTGAGTCAAGGATCTGAAGTAGTTTTTGTACCTTTTCATCAGCATGCACACATTCATCTCCGGTTAAGGAAAATATTGGAACTGTCGCACCACAATCTTCAAATTCCAAGTTTCGCAAAGATGGAAATTTGAAGTGACATCCCCCAGGACAGAAGTTAGTGAGGCTTGGTAATTCTCTGAGTTTCAAGTAGTTTAGTTGAGGCAGCATAATTTCTTCGTCTTCCATGATGCCAGCTACCTCTTTATGTCCAAATACCTCTTCTAATTGGAAGTTGTCTTCTACATATAATTCTTCCAGTTGTTGAAGACCTCGGGCTATGGTGGTTGGAAACAGACATTTTAATTTACTACAACTTTCGACCACAACTTCTAAAAGATTCCGAAAGGTTTCAGGTTGGAGATTATTGTTCAAGAAGGCTTGGTACTCTTCCTCCTCCACAACAATGATTTGCTCCAATTCAGCACAATTGCTGATATCTAGATATTTAAGTTTCATCATATTTCGAGCAAGAGTAGCAGAGAAGATATATCTAAGCCTACTGCATGAATCCACTTCTAGATTGGTAAGGTTTTGAAGGCTCATGAGACTGAGACCCATACATAAGCCTTCCAACTTCTCTAAAAAGTTCAATTTCAAATTCTTCAAACTTGGGAACGATAATTTGTGTTTTCGTCTCTCAGCAACAACACCTTCAAGCTGGAATACCACTTGGACAGCACAACCTATAAGTTCCACGTCTTCCAAATTTTGTAAGCCATGAACCAACGTGACCGGAATTATATCATCATTGCCATCTTGCAAATGCAGAAACTGTAAATTTTGAGAAACAAAAAATAAAAACTGTTATTAAGATCTATTATCTTACTTTGATTTAAGGCATCAGATAAACTCGTAATTTCTGAAAAAAGAAAAACATACCTCTGGAGGATCCTCATATTAGCTTCAACAATAATAGGCGTAGTCCAATTGGGGCAACCATCAACTTCTAACAGTTGCAAAATTGGACAAGTTGAATAATAATTTTCAGAACAGAAGCTGATGAGTTTTGGGAGTGTTTGAAGTCCTAACTTTATTAGCTTAGGGAGCACGATATTTTTTCCATTTTCTATCTCCGCAATTTCGTCGCCCTGGCTATAATCTGAGACAATATGCTCCAGCCTGCCACAATCACTTATTATGAGTTCCTCCAACTGCACCAGACGTCGCACAATTGACAATGCGAAGAGATTTTTCAAGTTACTGCAGCCAACCACTTCAACATGTGCAAGATTTGAGAAGCTTACAAGTCGGACGGGTCCCTTCCATATAAACCTCAATTCTGGTAAATTCCACAGCTTTAATGATTCTAAACTTGAAAGCACCGCACTATTTTCTCCCTCTGTCAGGCATAAGCCTTCAAGTTTGAATACTTCAGATAGTTTATTGCAGGAAATGATCTCAGCCTTTTTCAATTGATGGAGTCTCTGAAGCAACATTGGTGGATATACGTTACACATACTGTGGCATTCTGAAATTTTCACGGTTTCCAGTTTTTCCAGAAACGTATTTGGAGGCTCTGCACCTTTGTATATCTCTTCTAGATGGCTCATATTAGATAAAATCAATGTCTTCAGATTTGAGAATGCAGCGGCTGGTGCCTGCCGTTGCGACATATCTATGATGCAATTCAACTCCTCACATTTTCCAGATTCAAGATAAATCAACTCACTGAAGCACGTTTGATCAACGCTTGGGAAATAATTTTGCAAACCTTTTATTTCCCATAAATGAAGAGATTGTACATTCTACAACAATTCTTCAAATGCAATCAGTGAGGCCGCTTCGATACTACATATACTTAAGCTCCTTTTATATGCACCTGGAAAAATAAAATAATTACCTCCTGCCACCCCTATCTCATACCTTTCCAGTTTTGGGAAAGCAAATTCATTTGGAAGGCATCTATGTTCCATTTGTAGTGACAGTGTGACCAAGCATGAAAGTGAATTTAACTCATACAGGGTGGCACAACTTTCCTCTACACTAGTAGTCTCATCTGAGTCCCAAGAGAAATCATAGTCAGTGTATAATTCTTCTAATTGAGAAAATCTTCGTAACCCATCTCGTGGAATCCTCAGTTCTTCAGACAGACGCACGTCCAGTACTCTCAATTCACTTAGTTGATCCCCCAATTCTTTGGGCCATTCTCCAGCCAAAGAAGAATCTTCCAAATCCAGAACTTTAAGTCCTGTCAACTTTCCGAGAAATGAGATGTCTTGCAATCCGCAGTATTTCAGTTTTAGACTTCGAAGATTCGTCAATAATTCAAGTGATTTAAATGACATCGGATCCACACCAATTAAAGTTACAACTTGAAGTGCCTTCATGTCTTTAAAAAATTCACCTGGAGAACCCTTGATTTCACCTGAATCATCACCGATTCCAAAATTCAGTAGTAAAATTTCAAGCCTAGGACAGACCAAGCTTTGAGGAAGCAAATTTATGTCAATACCATTGTCCATCAAGGAAATTGCTGTGCATTGTTCAAGCATGTTCTTTTGACGCCTCTCTGTCAATCCCATGCTAGATTTATTCATGAATACATGTTTTCCCTTGGATGATATCCATATGGCAACATCACGAACCATGTCATGCATTTTTACGACCTCTTCCCCAGCATCAATTAGCAAACCCGAAGCCTTCAGATTATTAACCATAACGCGAAATTGTTTCCTTAACTCTTCAATAGAGTTAACATCTTGGTACAAGTCTAACCCCATTCCAATTCTAACCAATTCGTCTAAAGAGATTTCATAATCTTCAGGAAACAGTGAACATAACAAGAAACAAAACTGGATTTGCTCACCCCTCAAATAATCATAGCTCAACTTAAGAGTGGCATAAATACCTTTTTCTCCAGCAACAATTTTGTCCTCCCCTGTAACACTAATCATATCTTCAAGTTTTGAATCTCTTAGTTTGCCATGCAAAACTTTCCATTCGTCATAATCCTTTTCTCTTAAGCACTCCCAATAGCTACAAGTGCTAAAGGCAAGCCATCACATTCCTTAGCAATTTTAATTGCCAGAGGATTCAAATTGGAGGCATCACCTTTGCCTGCATGCCTTTTGAGTAAAGCCAAAGCTTCATCATCATTTAGAACATTTAGTGGAATTCGTGACTGACACCCCATATCGATGCAAACTTGTAGTCGACGAGTAGTTAGAAGAATTTTGCAATTCTTGTTATCATCACCAAATGGAATTCCTAATATCGATTTTAAATCAAATTTTCCCCAAACATCGTCCAAGATTACGAGGATCTTCTTCTCTGTCTCTGTGAGTCTCTTGAATAATCGCCGCGCTCTTTCTTCTTCACCTTGCTCCTCCAGTGACAACCCTAGCGAACTTGCTAGCTGACCTTGAATATTTTTAAAGTTTGGAGTCTGAGATATGGTAACCATCACAACCTCATTAAAGATCTCCTTCACTCTGTTACCTACTTCTTTTGCCAAGGTTGTCTTACCAGCCCCGCCCATCCCATACAATCCAACCATATAGATCTTATCATTTTTCAGTGCCTCAATAATATCATCAATAGCAGATTTTGAAGACCCGAAAATCTGAAATTGATTAGGCTTTAAAAATTCTATGCCTGGTAGAGTGGTATGATGACCCACTCCATCGAATTTGCCATTGTCTGTTAGCTTCAGCATAATGGTTGTCTTCTTTGCTGCTTTCCTACCTAACCAATATCGCCAACCCCAATTAGGACACTGTTAGGGCCAAAAATCGTCTTGGACTTGACGAGGCTCAATAATGAAATAAACATGTCACGACCCAAAACCTCAACCCAATCTCGATTGGGCTTATGCTTAAAATTACTTTGCGACCTACCCACTCTATGAGTTGGGCTATCCTATAAGTTAAGCTAAACTGGCTTTCAGCCCATTAGTCTGCAACAGTCTATAAATAAGAAATCAGAATCCCATTCTATTTCCTCTTCTACTAAGATTCCAAATCTTACTCAAACTATTAAACTTAATATGATAAGTTCAAGAAATCTTATCTCTTTCATGATAGGGATTATCTCCCAAAATAGGACTTAGTGTCCTACTAAGATTCCAACTCTTATTTAAACTATTAAACTTAATCTGATAAGGTCAAGAAATCATATCTCTTTCATGATAGGGATTATCTCCCAAAATAGGACTTAGTGTCCTACTAAGATTCCAACTCTTATTTAAACTATTAAACTTAATCTAATAAGATGAAGAAATCATATTTCTTTCTTGATAGGAATTATCTCCCAAAAAAGAGGACTCAGTGTCCTACTAGGACTCCAAGCCCTTAGGTTTACTATAAAAACAGAGGCTTACCCTCTCATTAAGGGCAATCTCCCACAGTCAATCTACACTACTCAAAACTATCTATTTGCTCCTAAGTTCTTGCTTCCAAGAACCCGACGCCTCCGCCGTAGTCCTAGCCTCTGACAAGACTCCTGGTAATTCTTCTTCTCCTTAATTCTTATTAAATCTCTTTCAGCCTTGCTGACTTGAACGTCGGAATGCCTACGGCAAACACCACCTTGATGTTTTTCGAAAGCTTCACGCTTGCCCTTTCATGTGTGCAGGTCTAATGGATTGTCAGTGACCTCAACCTTACGGGATCACACCCTATTTTCATGACGGTACATTTTTTGCATCTACAGACACCATCCATTAAGGCAAGTCTTTTTCACTCCTGTCTCTTCTTTCAATCCCTCAACATCAGCCAGGATCTCGTTGGCATCAGTTAGCCACTTTTCTAAATCTCCCTTGATTTTATCAGTATTATTTTTGGCTATTTCAACATCTTTATTCACGTTTTCTCTTGCCAATTTCAAATTGATTTCTTGTTCTTTAAGTTCTTCGACAATTGTGTTGAAACAAAATAGATGACGGACTTGGTTCACTGTCGGCTTCACCAAGTATTCTCCAACCTTTGATGCAATAGCCACACCAACTTCCATCCTCTACCTCTGATATCAAGAAATTAAGTACATCAGTGTAAGACAAAAAAAATAAAATAAAATAAAATAAAATCATTGACTGATAATCAAATATAAACCGGGATAGAACGTCTTTTTTAAATCTTTTTTTTTTTTAGTGATATTCATATATAAAAAAATTGTATATTTTGTGCTTTTAGATAATATTGTATCATATATTGATGGCAACTAAAAGCATCAAATATATGCTTCTAAATGGTTTGAGGAATTTTAGAATCCTTAAAGGTAAGGGTCCAAAATCCAAATCATGACCATAGCAAAACCATTTTAGATACATCCTCAATTAAGAGTGAACCCTCTTATCTTGATAGACAGAACGAGTACAAAATAACGATTAGCTTATTGAATTCATGTAAGCATACTCAAGCTCAAATCATTATTATTGTTGTTATCAGTTCGTGACACATTAGGGGTGCTTTATTTATGTCAGTACCTGGAATCTTTATCAGTTAAACACTCCCATTAAGCTATTTCGTTCTTCATTAAGTAAACGGAATTTAGAAAAAAAAAAAAATTAGGTCTGGCTCAGTTTTGTTGTATTTGGTCTTTCTTTTTCTTTTTTTGGTGAAAATATTTGGTCTTTTATGCAATGTAAAGTTAGTTATGGTTAAACCTCTTACTCAGAAAAATATTAAAACAAATGTTTTAAAACCAGACCCGGCCGACCGATACAACCAGGAAGCAGGGGCTAAGTCGGGTCAATTCAGATCATAGGGATGTTTTTGCTAGATTTCAAACCTGTAAGGACAAATCAAGAGTGTTTTTGCTAGATTTCAAACCTGTAAAGATTGATAGTATTTATCAGAAGTGTGTTTGCTAGATTTCAAACCTATTAGTTAACCGATCAAACTATCGATCCAACCAGTCAGACCGATCAACCTGAGACCCAGTCGCCTGACTCGATCATTGACCAGTTTGGTTTTAAAAACATTGATTAAAAATGGGGCTTTTTTAGATCATTGGTGGGAGTGGCTAATAGTTAATATTTGAAAACCTGTTAATTAAGGATAGAGACTCTGTTAGCTGTTAAGTATCATTGTTTGTTTTTTCAACTTAGGTCTCAATTGGACTTAGTTTAAGTCATTCAAAATTTGAGATTTGTTTGTTTTAATTTAATAATGATTTTTAAAATAAAATAAAATGAATTGAAAATAATTAATGTTTATAGCTTATCACTTAATGAAAATAACTGAATAGCTTGTTTTAATATTACATCCCTATTCATTTTACACTTTTCGTCAATATTGTTAAGCATTTCAATTCAATTAGATTTTGACTTTCCCACGTGTTATACGTTGACTTTTAAGTATTAATTCTTGAGTTGAACTACAAATTCACGGTGCATTTGTTCTTTTTTAGACTTGAATGAACCTTTTCCATTTTTCTTCAAAAAAATGCCAATATTATATTGTAATCACGTTAACTTATTTGGTCAATTAAATACTGAAGAATTAATACTATATAAATAACAAAACGAAGAATTACTATTATTTCATATATGTAAGTTTGACAAAAGTTAATTTCTCATACCTTCTTTCGTTGGGAGATATCTTTAACTAGCAAAACTAGCAAACCCCACAAAACTCCCCTATGAGCTATTACTTACACAGTCGCACACTTTGAAGGACAAGGATGAAACTACACATACGAATATTAAAACATAAAAAGATAAATAGGCAGATATTTGAAGATCTTCATGAATTAAAATAATAATAATAATAAGTATCTTGAAATTGTTTAGAAACTGGAGGTGTACCATCTGTAACTTAAAGGTTAAAATACAACCAAAATTTAGTATCCAAAGCCTATATATATATATATATGAATTTTCATTATAATTAAATATTATATTATCACGTTAGTTTGCTATATATGGATTGCAGGTGGCGTGTTTGTTATATTTTTATTTTTTTTCCAATCCTATTCATATCCTACTCAAAATGCATATTTGTCACTCTATTTTCAAAATTCAATCATATTATATTCAGCTATTTTACACCCCCGTAGGTTTGTTAATTTAACTAAAAACTCCCAACAAAAAAGTTTATAAATTGATAAAAACACCCCCACTCATCCACATTTGTCAGATTCCGACCACAAGCATCGAAAGGTGGTCAGAATTTGGCATAATTGAGCACTACCAGTTGGATTTGGTCACATCTGATCATCAATGATGACTAGATCTAGTCATAGATCTGGCCTTTTCTGGCTAAATCTATGGTGGATCTTGCAAAAAAGATCATATCGGTGCACGACCGACCAAATCCAGCTGAACATGAGCCATTATGCTAGATTCCAACCACCTTTCGATGATGGTGGCCGAAATCTGATAAATGTGGGTAAGTGACAGTGTTTTTGTCAATTTATAAAAAAAATTATTGTTATGGGTGTTTAACTAAATTAACAAACTTAGAGGGAGTTTTTCTTAATTTTCAAATTCGACCTGATCTTAACAACTTAACTCAACTTTTTCAAAAATACTATTCTAAATAATAAAACAAACACAGTTTTACACTTGAATGGAAAAAAAATTTGGGTAACCTTATCATAACTTTAATTTTTACTAGAACGTTTGTTAAATGTTAAGAAAATCTTATTCAATAATTATTGTGATATTTTTATTTTAACTAGCCTCACTCTTTTATTTTTATTACTTTATAAAAGCCAGAAAGATTTAAAAAAAAAAAAAAAAAAATACACGAATAACAATGGCAAACAGCATGCCAACATGTGGCTTGCCCTGGGCCGCTGGCACCCCCTTTATTTATTTATTTTTTTCTATATTTCAAAAATTTTATAATTTTTAATATTTAATTATTATTAGTTTAATAAAAATTATTTTTAAAAGTAAATATTTTTAAATTTGTAAAAAATTGTGAAATATTATAAAATTGTCAAATTAAAA